TTCATTTGAATGGACATTAAGAGAATGACCGGAAAATTGAAAGCAGAGTAGAGTAGAAAATGTAGAACTTCGTTGGACTAATATTGCAAAGAAATTTATACTTCTGATGCAGTTGTCATCTTAGCTGCAAGTGGATAGATAAACGACAAGTGAAGCCGTATTGGGCGGTTGGCTCTGTTTTGGTTGTCAAAACGGAGTTCCCTTGTATGCAGTATCAATCCAAACAGTGTGGCAGGAAATGGTCTACACGATGCCGCTTTGAGTTTCTAATGCACGTCATTCGCTAGATGATCACCCTTGATGACCAGCCTAAAGAAAGACGCTTTTCTGCGGTGCTTCGCAAACGTTGTTAACTGGTGACCTTCCTCTGTTAACCACATCAATAAACTTCTCTGAATAACTATTATCCAGAAGTGTCCTTCCTTGTCCTTCCTTTTCTTCCTGAAGTGTATCAGGAGAGCAAATATCCCTGATATATGGGAACAGAGTTTTCATCAAACCTGTATTGTCTGCCATGGGATCGAAACTAGCAAATTGCAGATATTGTCCACTCCNTAGACGGATCGTTGTAACATCCCATCGGACTGTCTCCCGATTTCCCATCTAATAAATTAGAACAGGTATCCAACAAAGAGCACTGGACAGCTGTTTCATCCTATTTGGCACTCGTCAGCAGTGCGTACATTTTTCCATCGCATTTGAATGCATACAAACAGTGGGGAATTAACGATCTCCCAAGGAGTGAAACCCACACCGAAGACCATGAAGAGTGCCTGGTGCCTGTGAACAGTCGAATGGGCTAATTCAAGCCAGATACACTAAATTAAAACAGGTATCTTTCTCTTCCTCATAGAAAATGTTGAAATCTCGTAGCGTTTGTCTTCTCTCTGTTCTGACGATTTTTCTATAATTGTTTATGGACGATTCTTCATCGCTCCCAGCTAGTTAGCACACGGATGGAATTTAAGCTAAAAGTAAATTGTTCTTCGTAGACAGTAACTGGAAGCGGATTGATGACTGAAATTCCATGGGTAACCGATCACGTATGTGTACGAGTGTGGTTCTGTGCAAAGTTCCGGTCCACACTGCGCGTCATTCCGGGTTCTATTTGAGTGAGCCATCTCGGTACCTGATCCGGTTTAACAGGATCCAATAGTTTCACGGTGAGGGAGATAGATTGAACAGTCTGCTTTAACACGACAATTTCGGCCACACTAAAGACTCATCACGTGCAACAGATTAAAAAAACACCGGATTCAATGAGGTCAGCAGTCCGCCAGTTGCTAGTAGTCCGTATCTCAGTATTTAATCCCCAACCGAAGTTACACTAAACCGTTTGTAAAATAAAATTGGATGGGCTTCGGGGAGAATCATCTCAGGCGCATTTTAGTTTAATTCATATTTTATTCTGTAAACATGGATATTTTATGTTAACCCTATTTTTCCTTTGACGTGTTCTTCAATATGATTTAAACTAACCCGCTTCTTTCTAACCGCCGAATCCAAGTTGCGGCAAGCAGAAAATCATCCATCTCTAACGTTTCATAATCGAATAGGGATTATTTCTCAACTTATTATATTCATCCCAAATTTCACCCCATGTCCTCAAAAAAATTTATCGTGAATGAAGACTTAAACCTTTTGCCGGTACAGGAGTTCCGGAAATCTTGCGTGGCTACCTATCTCTGAAAATTGAGAAGGCCATGCTTTTAAGACAGGCGGAACCTTTGAAATTTGGCCGTGTTACATTTGTGCACCAATGGTTATATGTGCTGCAAACCCACCCACTGGGATCAATAAAGCAATTCATGACCACCATTGACTTACACCTGGTATATTGAATGTTAAATATGTATTTCTAAGCCCTCGATTTTCTCACTCACCATCCCAAGATTATTAAACTGCATATAAACATAGATATACACAAGTTTCTCAAAGTTGATGCATCGCTCAACCCTGGTAAGCTCCGATTTCCAAAATTCAGACAGTCGAAGTGCATTTGTAGACCGGACACAAACAACAAAGTTGGCGCGACAGTCCAAGTTGGGGCACAGATAAAAATTCCGAAGACGAACGCAAATATGGTAGTTGTATGTGTGTCGGGGGTTGGGGGGGGGATGACATTGCGTAACTGGCACGTGCATTTTCAAGGTCTCTGTTGTAACAGCCCCGCCAATGAAGATCGCTCGCACGCGCGCGTACCTTTTCGCATCCGATTGCTTTGTGTCAACTCGTCTCCCAATCTAACTCTCCACCAGCATCCATCCCGAAACAAGGATAAGCATCTTTGATTGGTTGTTGTCTGGCCGGCCAACACACTGTGGTACGCACATCGATCGATACAAACTGGCCTGGGCATGCATAGTACCAGTTCGTTGTCCGCGCTCAGCTGATCCCGACGGACGGGAGTCACGCGCTGCTAAGCGCGCTCGAATGCGCACTGGCATATTTCGCGAACGTCAAGCAATTTAAACGCCCCACCGTCCACTGACTCTCCCAGTTGTGCAATTGCAAGTGCAAGGTTTCAACCAAATTTCAATTACTCATTGGACTTCCTCGTTAGTGATTAATGTAAGTTACTTAACTGGCGGATACTTTTACTTTGAATTGATTAATTTAGTTGAATAGTTCGTCCATTATGGTTATTATTCCACAATCAGCAACCTATGTGCTTCTTTCTTGAAATGGTTTTTTTGCAACATTGGCATCCGGTTACAGTGGTCATTCATGTAGGGAATTTAAGATACTTCGTTGTGGTTCATTAGAACTCTGAAAATAATGTCAGCTTACAGCAATGACACTTCAGGGCGCTCTTTAAACGATACCAACACAATTTGAGCAAAAACTTCTAAAATGGGCAGTTCTCCCGATATCGATAAAACTCTGAAAACTCCAGTTGGTGATCAACATTTGAAATCTGGACATCCGATCAATTGACTGATTGGAACTGGTACATATCGTGAGGTACTAAGTCAGCGATCGTTTTGATGATTGAACCCTGTACTTAATCAGGCAGCCAACTACCGTTTAGACTGATCATGTATGTCCTCTGTACGTATTCCATCCAAACCCGCATTTCAACGCTAGTTTCGTACTGACACCTTGGTTTATCTTGGCATTAAGCTTCACTTTTTACATCATCAGTAATTCATTCGTCCATGTAAAAACTGTATTACAACGCAGATTGCTTTACGCTTCAATAAAAGAATAGTAACCTCCAACCTTTTATAGATTAAACTGGATGTCATTGAACCGAAGCATCCATACTTATTTCAGTTGTTCAGACGGTCGAACGGGGATTCAATCAGTTGCATCAAAATGTAAACACGCCTCTGTCGCGGACAAAATTTTTTACCATATGCTCCTCGTTCTTTTGCTTCCCGAATGAGAGCGGTGAGGGGCTTGCAGTGCGGACAAACAGGCAAACGATGCAATAGGCCAAGCCAAATGAATCTTCTTCCCCAAGAGTTTTGTCCGAAAGCTAAACTTACGCACCTGGAAGTCTAAAAAATTCGGGTTACTCACAAACACATAAACGTCTGTTGAGTAAAATTACTCCGTTTCTTTACACTTTCTCTAACGAAAACATTTCTCGCAATTTTGATAGGGCTAATCAAGGACTGTCATCTTGATAGTGTTTTTGAATACCCGAAAGTGTTCGTTTAAATACTGAGCTTGCTGTTTGAGTTCTTATATCGGTTGGGTAACTAGACTGACAACGCAGTGTTTCTTTCTTGATTTTAACCCAAACTGGACGGGAAATGCAAAATACACCGGATTCAGAAATCAGCACATAATACCTACCTGAGAGATTTTGTAAAATTATTTTGCTCAAATACAAAACAGCGGGTTTTGATATCTCCAACCGGTTATTTATGATCAGTAATAACCATAGTGAACAAATGGGGTATTTCAGAAAAGCCAATCCACTAATTAGAACACATTATAGGATACAAATTTAATCCTGGTACTTTTCTGTGCCTCGTACAAATGGAACTTACTTTGGAGTGGTTTTGATAAGTAAAATGTGAATAATTGCTCGTAATCGTTTCATTATTGTGCTGAATAAAGAATACCCTCATTTTATTCCACGGTAGAACTTACTAACATTTCACTGATGCATAAACTGCTATTCATATTTTACGCATTGGGCTTCCAAGGTCAACCAAATTCTGCTTCGCAGTCCTGTTGCGACACTGTTTATCTGCTACCTTTTCCTCCTGGACAATAAAGAGTCAGGTTAAACTGAGATCATAGGAAGAAGAATGTTCTGTGAGATGTATAATCAGCATGGTTCGACGGATTCGTATCCATTTCCGTTAAGATGATGTATTTCGCAAACAAAATAGCCTGACCTATTTCACGTAGATCGATGCTGATCTACCAATTCGATAGCTGATTGGGTGAACATTGACATTCAAACCTAATGGGATTTTATTGTTGTGCTGTGGTTGATAGAAACTATTCATCGCGGATGTATGCGCTCGAGTCTCACAAATGCATCGGCTAAATGAAAACCCCTAATGTTGAAAAGAACAATGCAAAAATCCAGTTATTTTTACGGAAACATTTCACCTAACCTGACTATTTTGCAATAGACTACTCATTTTTAGTTGGAAAGGTTTATTTGTAAAGCCAGATAGAAATATTTCTTTTCAGTCAAGCCTCAATTAAAATAGCGACTTTAAACGAGCGAACATCCCCAATTGCATTTGATTGCACACACCTATTAGCAATAGAATTTCAGTAGCTTTATTGAGTTAATTAGTTCTTTTCCAAATCGGTAGTGTATTTCTGTCAAACAGACGGCGACTTCAACTTCTGCTACGAAAAGGTATTTGTGTGGTACACTTCACATACATGCACGCCTAGGCGAAAACATGCATAAAAGAGAGGGTTTATAGTAAAAACACAGATTCAATTGAAATTGTTTCGTGCATGCTTTGAAAGTTTTGTGTGAATGCTTAACTTTCATCCTGTTTTTCAGTTATAAACTCAAAATGCCAGATTTGATGATCAACAGGGGTACTAGTTCGACCACGGGATCGGTGGCACAAGGACGCTGGCTTGATCAGCAGCAGTATCTAATCGAGACCTATCGTCAGATTCGTGACAATTTGGGGCAAATGGAGGCCGAGATTGAGGCAGCCAGACTTCGCGTAACCGACTGGAGTCGACATCGACGTGAGCCAAGCCGTAGCCGTAGTTTGAGTCACGCTAGCATCTCCACCAACACAAGTAGCCATTGGAGTTGTAGTACATTCGAGAGCAGCGGTACGGACACGTCCTGTTTGCATATACACACGGACAGTGGTTTGACTGGTTCTTCTTGTCCCTCCTCATCCTCATGTTCCTCTGCTTGTGGAATCACCCTACCAGCAGCTGTGGCTGCCAGTCTGAATGCGGCCACACTGATATCAGCCTTTCTATCCGCAAGTGCAAATGCTGGCGGTACCAATGCTGCAACCACCCCGAATACGGCTACATCCATACGATCCGGGGATGATGCATCACTATCCGAACCAACAGAATCCGTCACGTCTACCGGGACACAACCCCTAGGAGAAGAAGTTACTGCCTCTGTGAGATCACATGCTACTCGAAAGTCTTCATACGACTCGGAATAAATTTGTGCCAATTTGGGTAGAAATCGAGAAAACGAATATACCGGAGCTTCATGTGATCAATCCACACCTCTCTACTCGAGATACCTGTAGTCTGAGTAGAATTAACGCGGTGNNNNGCTGAACACGGTTCGATATCTGATTTTCTTTGGTCTCTTTTTTACCCTATTTTTATTTATAAAGTTTACACCGGACGACATTTTGGTTTCTCCATCTGTGTTTTAACTGTTTTTTCATTCGGTCATCACTTATTTGTTCACATAATTTCGCATTGTGCTGTCTTGGAACTTGCGTAAAAGCTGTGCATTTTTCGTTTCTTTTCACAAACGTCAAAACTATGGAATCGACACACTTTCCTATGCCCCACTTCACGGGAAATTTAGGTTCTGTGTTTCGTGTCAGCAAATACGTTATAAATACGCCTATTCATGTTGTCCGACTCGACTGACAAACCGAAACAGTACGAATCAGTACAGTAATTTCCATTCTTCATTATTAACTCACAGACTTTGACGATATGAAAGTGTGCACCGAGGAACTCACACTCATACATTCGTCCAACGTGCACCGGGTA